CTAAGTGGCTTTACAGGTATACAAAGTTGCTTCCCATTGAAGTTCGAATTATACTCTTTATTCAATATTTTGTATATATCGATGTTAGGCAAACCTTAGGCCGTTTCTTATATTATTGTTTTATTTTATTATTTGTGTATATTGCATGTTTATTATACTTGTATATTGTTCTGATCCCCTCCTCAATTTGAAAAAAATGAATTCAGTCGGAATCCACAATTGTGGATTTCGAAAGATGCCTAACATCTTTCCTTTGAAATAGCTTGAACCCCTTACCTAGAATCTATTGGTTTCGTAAACTTTTCTTTTAAGATAATTTGTTAATTAGTTTTTTAGTTTTCCTAAAAAATTAGGTGGCGATTCCCTTTTATCCTTTTACCTCTTTTTAAAATCGGTAAAGAATCATATTTGCCCTTCGTTATATATTTTTGATATATTTGCCCCTGCCATTCAACTTTAGACACATATTTACCCTTATCATCCTACCTGGCAAGCCTTACTCCTGATCTCCTTCCTCCACAAAAAAATCATCATCGGGCGTCAGCCCAGATCTTTACCTCTACCATAGTCCGATTCACATATTTTTAATTTCAAATTTCCAACATAAATAAATGGATCGACTAATAGAATAGAATCATAATGTTTGCCACTTTTATACGTGCAATACACTGCCAAATTCTATCAAGAATACTACACACAGGCCTACTCGAATATTGAATACAAACTTATAATTAATAGAGAGTAAATTTGTACCAAAATAACACCAAGAAGAAGAAACATGTCTATCAGGCTAACTAATTCTCCAAATCAAGATTTTTCAGTCGACACGAGGCTAGAGTTCGACAACGAAACGCCAATACAGTTTAGATGGATTAAAATCGAATTGACGATTAAATCAACCAGTTCTGGTTCTTCAAAAGCAGGAAAACGAAAGCGGATTTGAAATTGCTTTGAGGAGCAAGTACTTTTCTATTGAATAGAGGGAATGCTTAATTTTGATATTTGAGGGATGCTTTCTTTATGATTATATAAATTTTCCTTTACTCTCATCTTTTCCGAAATCGAAAACCTTCCCAGAAGTCGATGAAGAAGCATGGTTGGAAACCTAACTATTGATGATGATATTTTTGTGGATGAAAAAGCTCTAGCTGAGACATGGATGAGCAGCCGTAATTTTTTTTTCTCTCTATCAAAGGTTGGAGATGAGATTTAACGGTCAAAGGGCAAATGTGTCTAAAGTTGGATGACAGGGGTAAATATATCAAAAAAGTATGACGAAGGGCAAATATAACCCTTTTCTAAAAGTACTAGGGCAAATATGACCATTTTTCATTTTAAAATTGTTAACTATATTTTGGTGAGTCACCACGACGTTACGCCCTCTCAAAGAATGTCTAACATGAATTGTGTTTTATTTTTATATATATTTTTAATATGATGTTATATTTTTTTTTAATTGTTTCTCATTTAAATAGGTGAGTCCGCGGATAAATACTTTGGAGCGTGGTGAACTGGTGATGTATGGCTGTAGCAAATGCATGTACCTTGTGACTAGTGAGGCAGCTGAGTTGTTTTGTTTAATTTATTGAAATGTGATGGGTGAGTTTGGCTTCAAATTATATTGAAACGTTTGCTAACTGGACGGAATATCATCTAAATTTGTGCGTGAAATGAAAAAAGAAAAAAAAGAGTGAATATTCTATTACAAGCTAAAGAAAAGTTTCATTCAGCAATTTCTATTAACTTTGTTATATGCAGAACATGTTAAAATAAGAAACCTTGCATACAAAAGCATAAAAGAGCTGTTTAAAAACACCCAAAACGGAACTATAATTATATTTGGAAAGGCATAAATATACACTAGTATTTTAATTTAATGTCAACTGGTATCTATGTCATCCAATTTTAGATATATATAAATAGACACTTAGGGTGTGTTTGGTACGAAGGAAAACATTTTCCAAAAAATGTTTTCCAATTTTCTCATGTTTGGTTGGGTTAAATGTTTTGAAAATGTTTTCCAAATTAACTCATATCAATTTTAGGGAAAATGACTTTCCTTCAAAAATTGAGGAAAACATTTTCCAAAACATTCTTCCAACTTCAAATTATAATTTTTTAAAATATTTTTAACTTCAGTTTTTTTTTTACCCCACCCTCACCCCTACCCACCCAGCCCCCTACCACCCCTCAAAAAAAATTATTAAAAATTATTTTTAAAAGATATTTTTAATTTCAATTTTTTTATTTTTTACCCCCACCCTCAAAAAAAAATTTAAGTTTGTTTTTATAAAATATTTTCTACTTCAAATTTTTATTTTTTCACCCCTACCCTCGACTCTCCCCTCACACCCCACCCCCACCCCAAAAAAAAATAAGTTTATTTCTAAAAAATATTTTCAACTTCAAAATTTTATTTTTTTTCACCCCTACCCTCGACCCCTCCCCCTACCAACCCCCCACCCCCTAAAAAAAAAAATTTAAGACCCCTACCAGTCCCTACTCCCCCATCCCCAAAAAAAGAAATTAAGTTTGTTTTTAAAAAATATTTTCAACTTCAAATTTTTATTTTTTCACCCCAACCCTCGACCCCCCCCCCCCCGGCCAAACCCCCAAAAAAATTTAAGTTTGTTTTTAAAAAAATATTTTCTACTCTCTAGTAAAAATAAAAGATATTTTCTCAAAAACATTTTTCATTCATAAATAAAACACTAAAAAAAATTCCGAAAAATATTTTCTACTCACCAACTAAACATGAGAAAATAAGTCAAAAATCTACTTATTTTCCAGAAAAACATTTTCTAGAAAAACGTTTTCCTTTGTACCAAACACACCCTTAATTTTGTAGAGAATTGAATAAGTTGGTACATTGCATCCTACGTGGTATTCTTTAATGTTTTATGACGTATAAATATGTATGTCTCTTTATTCATTTTTATAGTTTACCCACCAACTTGAAACAAACGTCATTTTCAGAAATTGCTGAAGATGATTTTAATTTAGTAAAGCTTAACCACACAAACTAAAGGAGAATTATTTCAAACTAAACAAGAAGTTTCCTTTTACCCTTTAGGAAAAGATTTATAGTTTTGTAAATATTTAAGATTTGTTTTATACCATAAGTTTAAAAAGTTCTCCTTTTCTTATTGACTTTGTGTCGAGTCAAATAGAGTCATATAAATTAAAACAGAGAAAATATGATTTTATTAAAAATTTATTATCACTAGAAATGCTATTGTTGATATAGCGTATTTCAAATGGTTCAAAAATATCCTCCTTCCATCTTTTGGTTTAAAAATGTCATCAACGTTTTCTTAAAGTTTAAAATTGTTCTTTATTAACACCCCACTAACATGATAAATGATGAACCATTTGATTAGCCAAATGACTTCATCTTTATTGGTCCACCTAATTTTTAAAATCCAGGCCAACGACCCGACTCATATATGCTACAAAAACTCAAACTCACCCAAAAACCCGTTTTTATATTCACCTATCTTATCTTTGAACTTAATTTTACTGCGACTCTCAATCTCTTTTGTAGCATCCGACGATGGTGGTTTAGGGTTGCAAATCACAATACCTCTAGTTATGTTCTTCAGATAATACTTTTTTGTTTCTTAAATTTTTTTACTCAGTTGATTTCATTACTCTGCAACTAAAGTAATGTTTTGCTTTTTTAGGAGTTTGTAGAGGTGGGTTTCCAGCAAAAATTTAATATTGATCAGTTTCAGCTTTCTGTTGAAACTATGAGATGTGTTTGCTTGAGAATTATTGAAATTCGGGTCTATTATTGACTTTTAATGAACTTTTCTGCTCTGAGTGGGTTTACTCTTAAAGCTTTAAAGGCGTTTTCTGAAGATATGTAGGTGGATTCTATTAAAGATGTCCTTAAATTGCATATTATTGGGCATGAATGGGAGTTTCTCTTCAAGTTTTAGGCTGAAGAAGGCAAGAGGGTCTTTGCGAGGACCAAATTGTGGATGGAGATAGCAAAGGAAGCTTTTGTTTTTATGGCTCATTTTCTTTGGAATTGGATTTTTTTGGTCGGTCATTAGCTTAAATGGTGGTGTTTATAGTTGGAAGCAGGAGGCTTCAAAACCAAATGAAGATAATTTTTATTTTCCTCTTGAACGTTTCAATGTCAGCAAGGAACAAATTCAAGATTTAACTACCTTATTCTTTGTAGTTCTTAATTCCTTCTTTTTTTTCTTCTTGCAATTAACCCAGAAATGGAAAAAGAAGATAAATTGAAGGTGGTAGGACGAAAGAAGAGAGTTGGAACAAATGGGAACTAATGACCCAAAATTGATCGGGAATATCGGATCAGATTTGAAATGGGTTTCTAGACTAAATGGGTCATATATTTTGAAATAGGTAAAGAAAATTCATGTCACAATTGTCATGTCGCAATTTTAAACCTTAAAAAATTGTTGAAGGCAATTTTAAACCAAAAGGTGAAAGGAGGACATTTTAAAACCATTTTAAGGGCATTTTTAATCCTTTTCCCAAATATAAATAATCAATTTTGTTTAAAGAAAAATTAACACATAATTCACTACATTTTCTTTTCTTCTTTTTATACTACAAAAAGTATACTTTCAAAAACATCAGATGAGGTCATTGAAAATATATACCAAAATAACTAAATATTCCATTAGATTTGTTGAAAAATAATATTAATATCTTGAAAATATAATTATCTTTTTTGTTAACTTGCTACATTTAATTTGCCTTGATGACATTTATTATGACAATTTTTGTATGGTTGTCAGACGTTATCTTTTCGAATAATTGAACGTCTCATATTATTTGCTAATGAAAAATATCATGAGTAGGACCCAAAAAGATAGTAGTACCAGATAACAAACAAAAAAATAGAGTCTAAAAGTAAGTACAGAATAGCTTGAACTTTTGGGCCGTTGTATAAAACACCCAGAAAGATAGTAGTACCAGATAGCAATACTGGAAGTACTACTTTATGGCATATATTGGTGACTAAGATAAGTGATAAGCATAATAAATAATTTATAAGTAGGTGGATTCGAGTCATCAAGGAGCTCCCGGGGTGGAATGAAAAAACTCTTAATAATAACTAGAACATGGAGTTGCCACTGCTAGCATAGGTGATATCCTACGAATAGTGATGCCACTGCCTTCCGTCATATCCAAATCCTCCGGTTTTAACCCTTCTGGTAATGCTAAATTGAACTTGTGCACAATCCTTGCTAATGCTAGCTCAATTACCACAATAGCAAAACCAGTTCCTGGGCAGCCCCTTCTGCCTGCTCCAAACGGAATCAACTCAAAGTTTAATCCTTTCACATCAATATTACTATTTAAAAACCTCTCTGGTCGGTACTCCTCTGGATTCTCCCATGATAAAGGATCTCTTCCGATTGACCAAGCATTGATAATGACTCCAGTTTTAGCAGGAATTTGATAGCCAAGTAATTTTATATCTTCTATTGATTCTCGAGGAACTAGTAGTGGAATTGGTGGATGAAGCCTGAGACTCTCTTTGATCACTGCTTTCAGATACTGCATATATCCTAAGTCGTCCTCTGTTATCTCTGCTTTCCCTTGGGCTAATCCTCTCACTTCATTCTGTAATTTTTCCATGGCTCTTGGATGCATCAAAAGCTCTGTCATTACCCACTCTAAAGCTGTATACGTTGTATCCGTACCACCAGAAAATATATCCTACGCATAAAATTAAAAAATATACTAAGATTGTTATCCTGGAGAATGTGGAAGAATAACAATATTCTAAGTAACCAAATATTTAACTATGAAACAATATGTTAGTAAGTAGCAAGCAGGAGTAATTATGTTCAAAATTATATGTACTAATAAAACACGCCAAGGAGGGAATAAATGCTAATCTTACCAAGATGATAGCTTTCAATGAATCCCTTTGAAGAGGAAAGCCAGTTTCCTTTCCATTCTGAACTTCCAGCAAAACATCCACGAAATCTTTAGCTTCACCCGTACTGTATTCTCCTTTATTGTTCTTAATAATGTGTTCTTCGATCACACACTCTAAAAATGTATCCAAACTTTTAGCTACTTTCTCCACTTTGGTGTCTAGACCTGTTAATTTATTGACCCATTCAAGCAGCGGAATATAATCCCCAATATTAAAAGTGCCAAAAAGTTCACCTAATTCATCTAGAGTGACCTTAGCATTCATTCCACCTTCTCCTTCATCATATTTCCTCCCTAAGGCCACTCTGCTAATTATGTTACAAGTCAGAAAACAAAAATGATCTCTTAAATCTATCACTGAACTCGAAGAACCACACTCTTGTCTGATTTTGTCAATCATATTCGATGTTTCTTCTTCTCTTATATCACGATAAGATTGGACTCTTCTGTTGTTGAGAAGGTGAAGCACGACAATGCTTTTAATTTGTCTCCAGTATTCACCATAGGGACTAAAGCCCACGTCCCTAGAGCCATAAAATAGTTTATCAGCCAAACTAGATTTGGGTCTGCTTGAGCATACGAGATCATGAGTTTTCATGATCTCACGAGCAGCTTCGACAGAGGAAGCAACGAGCACAGGCTTACTGCCTAAGTGAAGTAGCATGACTGGACCATATTTTTTGGATAGTTTATGGAGAGAACGGTGAGGAAGTGATCCAAGTTGATGGAGATTTCCTATGATTGGAAGCTTTGTTGGAGATGGTGGTAACTTTTTTTGATTACTTGAAGTAGTAAAGAAGCATTGAATAAGGAAGAAAAGGAAGAAAAACAGAGGAACTAGAAGAGAATACCAGGGAAGATCCATTTTCTTTTTAGGTAGGAATATTGATAAGGAACTAGGTGTAAATCAAAGCGGTCGTCTAATGGCCTTTTATTAATGATAAAATAAAATCCTCAACGTGAAGAAATAAGTACAAGTAAGGGGACTAGATCTTACCTAACAAATCGCTCATTGACTTTTGTTTGAAAATGAGACTTTTGTTACCAAAGTTGGTAAATACTTTTAAAATGAGTTTAATGGATTTACATACAAAAATCACCAACTAATTAGTGTTAGCCTACAAGCAAATAATACTGAGAAGGAAATTACTAAAAAGTCAACGAAAGAAGAAAATGAAGAAAAAAAGCACAGGAAGTAGAATTGAGGAGAGAAATCTAGAATTGGGTATATTTGAGAAGGCATAATACATATAGGTGCATTTTATCTTGGTTTCAACTGATATTTATGTCATTCTACATTGAATGTGCACAAATAAACGCTAAAATTATTTCAAATTGAACTAATTTCTTATACCTCCTACGTAGCATCATAAATACATTTTGTCATATACGACACTTTTTTATAATTTAAATAACAAATTTAAATCGATCGACCGCAATTATATTATTTGCATTATTGCACGACACAAAAGATAACCCACTCGAACTTCAACCACAAATTTTGTTTTGTATGATCAGTCACCTGTGGCTCAAAAATAAACTCTATATAAAATAAATTCTAATTAAAGGCCTAAAAATAAATTTTAATTAGAGGGTTAAAATTTAAAGTAATTTCATATATAATTTTATATAAATTTTATTTTTCTAGATTTTTTAAAGTTGTTTAATTAATATTAGGTAAGATATTATCAATTTCAATATTAACAAACATATTTTTTTTATTGTGGCAATCATATTGACATAATTCTATAAGTAATAAGTTGACAATGTTTTTATTAAAATCATAGAGTTAAAATAATAAAATTTGATGCAAGAAATTGATAATTTGATAGACCTCACTTTAATATGCTTGTTGTGTTGCATGGAAACCTAAATAGAAATAAGAAAATATTTTACAATACATTTTGTTTGCAAGTTAGATCCTTATACTTACAAATTTGGTAATTGAACCTCTAAACTCACTTAAACACAATATTTTAAACTCTTTTTTCATCCTATGTGTGTGTAGTACAACAAATTAGGACTGAAATTTAGTCTAAATATATAAATAATGGGTGTTTTTATAAAATATAAAATTTGGGATAGCTTTCAAATACTAGAATTTGACCCACATACTAATTTTTTCTAGTATTTGAAAACATGGGATGTTTGCCAAGTATATTTGTCAAGTAATAACAAGTTGTATGGCCAAGCACCATGAAATTTTTTCACTTTTTTCAGAATTGAACTTCATGTCTATATGATAGATAACGTGTCTTATTAAAATATTATTAAAAAAAACTCCGTAAGATAAATTCTAGTGAAGGAAAAAAAGTACGTACACATGACTAATAATAAGCATTTTGAATGCCTCATTATAAACCTTACAAAGAAAATTCATTAGGACAAAACATTGTGAGGTAAAAGAGAGAACATCATGAAAATGAACAATATGTATTGAACTCCTTTCAAGTTTCAAGGTAGGATATTGGGTGCATAGAATAAAAAGGAACTCTTTTCAATGGATTTGGCTCCCCTCCATTACCCCTTTCCTCCATTTCATCAAGTGCACGTCTAGATTGAAGACATGTGTCATATTTAAAGTTTAAAGGTCAAGATTATATTATTTTAACAAATATCATAATCATAGTTAAGTCAACTAATTTTGGAAAACTACTCTCCAAATTTGATAAGAATTATAATATATTCTAAACAAAATTTGATATTTATTAATATCATTAATTTCATATTATATTTTTTTATTAAATTATTAAATTGTATTATATTTAAGGTGAGAACCAACTAAACAATTTATGTACTACTAAACTTTGCTCTTGAAATATTATATATACTATGTTGAGAAGCAAAACAAAAAAGTTAAGAATTATCATTGTGAAAAAAAACCATAAAATAAAAGACACGAAATAAAAATAAAAATAACAAGATGAAAGATTTTTAGAATTAAACGTGAATACCAAAAATATTCCAAGGAGAAAATGTGGCTATTGTGTTTGAAGGGGAAAAATATACTCTCTTTTTTTAATAAATACTTTTATCTTCTTTTTTTGTTAAAGAGAAGATAACATTATTTTAAATGCAAATGTTTTTGAAGATTATTATTTATCACATTAAATATAAACGTTTCAAGTTCTACAATCTTAATATTTAAATGTAAATTAAAAATATAAGATGAAATTAATGATATTAATAAATATCAAATTTTCTATGGAATATATTGTATTTTATCAAATTTGGAGAGTGATTTTCTAAAATTAGTTAACTCAATTATGGTTATGATATTTGTTTATATAATATAATCTTGACTTTTAAACTTTAACTATGACACATGTCTCTAGTCTAGACGTGCACTTGACGAAATAGAGGGAAGGGGTAATGGAAGGGAACTGGATCCCTTTTCAAGGGGGTATGAAGATTCATTTTTGACATTTATTATGTGAATATCAGATTTAAGAGAGCAATCTTTACGACCAAGGTATAGAACACCCAGAAAGGAAGTCACCGGTAAACTCAACTAGCAATTCAGGGAAGTATTATTCCATGGCATATATTGGTGCCTAAGATAAGTGATCTGCATAATATATAAGTACGTGAGTTTGAGTCATCGAGCGAATAAAAGTGGAAACTCCTTAGGGATGGGTAAAACAAAGTACAAATGAAGTGAAGAACTGCTAATAATAAGTAGAGCATGGAGTGGCCACTGCTAGCAGAGGTGATCTCCTATGAATAGTGATGCCATTGTTTTCGGTCATATCCAAATCCTCCGATTTTAACCCTTCTGGTAATGAAAAATTGATCTTGTGCATAAGCCTTGCTAATACTAGCTCATTTTATCACAACAGCAAAAGCAGTTCCTGGGCAGCCCCTTCTGCCTGCTCCAAATGGAATCAACTCAAAGTTTAATCCTTTGAAATCAATATCACTGTTTAAGAATCTCTCTGGTCGGTAGTCCTCTGGATTTTCCCATGATACAGGATCTCTTCCGACTGTCCAAGCATTGATAATGACTTGAGTTTTAGCAGGTATTTGATAGCCAAGTAATTTTATGTCTTGTGTTGATTCTCGAGGAACTAGCAGTGGATGAAGCCTAAGTGTCTCTTTGATTACTGCTTTCAGATAGTGCATATTTCCTAAGTCATCCTCTGTTATCTCTGCTAATTTCCCTTGTGCTAATCCTCGCACTTCATTGTGTAATGTTTCCATGACTCTTGGATGTCTCAAAAGCTCTGCCATTATCCACATTAGAGTTGTATATGTTGTATCCGTACCAGCAGCAAATATATCCTACGCGTTAAGATTGTTATGCTGGTGTATCTGTAAATGATTATGTGGAAGAATAACAATATTCTAAGTCGCCAAACTTTTAACTATGAAACAATATGTTTAGTACGAATTATGTATGTTCAAAATTATACTAACAAAACACGCCAAATAGGGAATAAATAGTGTGAGAGAAGCTGATTTTACCAAGAGGATAGCTTTCAATGAATCCCTCTGAAGACGAAAGCCAGTTTCCTTTCCATTCTGAATTTCCAGCAAAACATCCACGAAATCTTTAGCTTCGCCGGTACTGTATTCTTCTTTATTGTTCCTAATAATGTGTTCCTCGATCACACTCTCTAAAAATGTATCCAATTTTTTAGCTACTTTCTCCACTTTGGTGTCTAAACCAGTGATTTTATTGACCCATTCCAACCAAGGAATAAAATCCCTAACGTTAAAAGTACCCAAAAGATGAAGAAATTCTGCTAGGATATTCTTTGCATCTATTCCACTTTCCCTTTTATTATATATCCTCCCTAAGGCCACTCTGCTAATTATGTTACCAGTCATAAAACAAAAATGATCTCTTAAATCTATCACTGAATTTGAAGAATTAGAATTACACTATTGTCTGATTTTTTCAATCATATTCGATGTTTCTTCTTCTCTAATATCACGATAAGATCGGACTCTTTTGTTGCTGAGAAGGTGAAGCACGACAATGCTTTTAATTTGTCTCCAGTATTCACCATAGGGACTAAAGCCCACGTCCTTAGAGCCGTAAAAGAGTCTATCAGCGTTTATATATCACACATATGACCGCAATATTCGAGTGGCAAATTTAAAAGTCATAATTATCTATTGAAGTCAAGTTAAGGATCATGTTTATGTATTATGTCTTTATTATTTATTATCAATTTTTATTTTATTATTAATATAAAAAAGAATAAGTACAATGTCATATTATCATTTAGGGAAAATATAATGGGTTTCACAGCGGTGTTCATAGAACGATAGTGGAATTTTTAGTTTGATAATATATATAGTAATATTTTTTAAAATATTATATTATTATCAGATAAATTTATTGAGCGTGACTAAATTTTGATAAAGTAGAGTATGATAAGTTGATAATATATCTTGTTTTAATTGTTATTTAAATTTTATTGTATTGTATTGTATCACTTAAATTCATTGTTAAGTTTGATAATATATATAGTAATATTTTTTAAAATATTATATTATTATCATATAAATTTATTGAGCGTGACTAAATTTTGATAAAGTAGAGTATGATAAGTTGATAATATATCATGTTGTAATAATGAAAAGACTCACTTTATGTAACGATCGAATTAGTGTAATCGTGTCATTATTTTATTATTTTCTTCTTCTCCTTTACTAATTATTTAATAATTCTATTTAATTTTTTATCCTACTTTTTCATAGTATAGCTCTTTCCATACCATAATTTCCTTATAGATTTATCATCAAAATATGAAATGGTGTTATTATGTAATGTTAAAGAACAATACTATTTATTTAAATATTAGGCTTAAGTCATTTGTAGCCCCTTAAAGTTGTCTGTATAATTCACTTAGACAC